TTTTTTTTTTTTTTTTTTTTTTTTTTGCCATAGCAGCTGACTAATGAAAGGCAATCAATTGATATTCGTAGTTACACAACATGACCTTATCGAGATCCTAATAATTTCCAGTTGCAGTGTACATATTTTACAGGACATTATAAAATAAGATAACACACATAGTCAAGCACTTCTATGAGAACTCAACAGGTGAATATATATACCAGCCAAATAAGAAGTCTATGCTGACTCCATGGATGAGAAGTGTGATGAAATAAAAAACTCGCGAGCCGCCTCATTCGGACGCCATCTGTCCCATTGTTTTCAGACTCTGTAAAATTTGCCAAAAAAAAAAAGGTAAAAGAAATAAACAAAAAGAAATATAAGGTTCGACGTGTTATGTGGATAATGGTTTGCCGAAAAATCATAGTGAACCACATCAATCACCAGCTGGCGTATCCACCATTAGCAAGCCCCTAAAAGCCAATGTCTTGGCAAGATCTTCCCAAGTCCTCCAGCTATAGATCTGCTCGAGTTCACATCAAAGTACATTGAGCAAAATAATGTGTGCGGCTCACAAGAGCTGACTTTGATGGAGAAGAAGAACAAGAAATATATCTATCTACCTTGATCATGGCTAGTGCAACAGCAAAGAAACTATAGCAGATATGCGTAGTTCCCAAAACAAACAAGAACCTATGGAGCTGCTCAAGGCTCTCATATGAAGCAAAAGGTTCATGACCCTGGAGATTAAAAAAAAAAAAAAAAAAAGAAAAAAGAGTTTATACTGTTAGAAGACTGTGTTTAATTGTCTGCATGCACTAGCTGAAATAATTTCATATTGTCATGCAAGGAAAGCCTAAATTTTGAGCAGTTTTCTACTTCACCCGAAAACAAGATTGTTTTGGAATTCAACATTCTGCATTTGTACAGTTAGCTTTCCATTTCATTTTTGCCGCTTCTCTTGAAATTAATTTCTGAAAAACTATGTTCACAAGACGAGTGTGCTAGCAGTAGTGTATAGTAAAGCGAAGATTTTCATTACCGCACAGTGTGCCCTTTGTTAAAACTTAATTTATGTTGGTGCTAATATCTTCAAACCTACTACTACTGACAAGCCCTATGATAGGAAGAGATCAAACACATTTTAAGGCCATTTAAAGAAAAAACCAACATCACCCGTTTCTATATACGCATATCAATCACTTTCTAAAACACAAAACCAGCTTCCAATTCCAGATTCACCACAAGAACAACCAGACAACTGATTAACCTTTTTTTTTCTAAGTAAAGAGTATGTTACTATGTATACCTTGGGACAAGAATCTCGATGAACGTCCTCCAACAATAACCGAGAAACAGAGGAGTTCAAATGAAGAGGCTTCGGAACAACAGCATGATCCTTAATAATAACTTCATGTTGTGGAAAACTATGAGGAGCACACGGGTAGAACCGGCTACTCAATGCAGAAGACTTAACACAAATTTTAGACACAAAGACAATCCAATGACCCATCAGCAAAGACAGAAGCCCAAATACCATTACCTCTGCTCGAATTTAACAGGAAAAGACAAAGTACATAAAACTGATTAGAACAATAATTTTTTTCCAAAACATCAAAAGGAACAGTACCAAGAAAACCACTTACTTACCTTCCTTGATCTTGTCGAGCGCCGCAAGAAGATGCTTCCTTTTAGTTCTATCCAGCCACTTACAAAATAAAAAAAAAAAATAACTTAGAAAGAGAAATTCACACTCTCAATCCCCAAGAAAATGACACAAAAACATCATACGAGGATGAAAAACCTTTCCGCACTTCTTCAAACCTCCGTGAATGGAAAAACCGACCGTAACCAAGACAGTGATGACGGCGGCGACAGCCCACGACGGCGTTTCAGCCAAGGATCGTCCTTCCTCAGTCTCTGTTGCTCCCATTTTCCAAAACCCAGAAATAAAATCAGATTTTTAAGTGAATTTCTAAGCCAAGTGAGAATCTTTCCAGAGGGGGCTGTGAATTTTGGGTTCAGAGAGAACACAGGAAAAATGGGTTTTCGAAATAATGGTGGATTGGAGCGAGGCATTCATTAATGGAGTCATAACTGGTTTGTCTCTATTGTGTTATGCGATGAAGGGTATATCATTAAGAACGGGGTGCATGGGGAGCTATATTAGGAAACAGGGCAAGAAAATGGTCCCATTTTTCATTAATTGGGCATTGATTTGATTGGACTGTTTACACATTAAGGTGGCGCATACTGCAGAGGGATTACCTCAACCAACTTTGCAACTTCTGTAATGAAGATTCATAAATGTTGTGTGGAATTTCTTTCTTTTTTTTTTTTTTTTTT